GTGTATGAGAATCGACAATACATATATCGAAACTCATGATATTTTTTTGGATTTTAAGTATCGAAAGGAAGACGCCAAATCGGTGCTATCGAAAGCGATAAAGACGTCAAATCGAAAAAGTGGAATCTTTAAAGTGTGAAACAATGTAAAGTGCTAAACCCATTAAGCTTGCGCGAAAAAGTAAATAACAGGAAATCGAACATGCAGAAATTTAATTTGACATTGAATCAAAATTACATTGAATGTAAAGTACAAAACATGAAATTGCTGAATCGAAATTGCTCGAAAGTAAATTACCAAGGAAAATAAAGAAAGCGATAAATGTACTCCGTGAGCAGGGAAATCCAGATCGCCAGAAACTTCATGGTGTTCGTCGTTTCTCCGGTAGACTTTTCACTACTGATTCTGTGCTCTGCCAATTTTTGCTCCTTTGTTTCTCCTTTCTTTGTTCTATTTATAGGGCGTTGTTCAAGCCTCCTAAGAGCAGTTAACGAGACTGCTACCACGTTCTTCGTGCGTATGACAGTTTCTTTTTACAGTTTTCCCATGTTCTCACGATCTTCGACTTTTCCATCACTTAGAAACTGCTTTCCGTACGTGCGTTTTGACTACTTCCCTTCAAGGTTTAACCGAGGTTACGATATCTACGAAAACGAGCCTTCCCTTCGATTTAATCGAGAACTTTGCATACCTGGTATCGATTCATTTTAACCTTAACGTCATATACCTCAAATTCCTTGATTTTTTCCATGTTAAGTTTTCGACTATTACTCCTACTCTTCCAATTTTACCTTTCGATTTTATGTATCACGTCCTTTATAATCGGACATCGAAAATGTTCCCTTTCAATTTGTTTCTCTATTCCACACTAACAATTATAAAAAATTATAAACACGTAAAACAGTTGATAAAAACAATGGATTGGACTTCGGTTTCCCCTGCCGACTTTCACCTGTTCATATATATCACCTTTAATAATAATTTATTTATTAATTCTTAATTTTTCTTTTTCTTCTTTTTATAAATTTTTTATGTTTTTATCAAATCTAGACAACCTAGATTCTCGTGAATAAGTTACGGCGGAATTATAAAAAATATCTTCAAAAACCGAAACATCATGGAAAGTTTTTATGTTTGGGATTCATTGATTCCATTCTATTTATAGATAATTTAGGGTGTATAGAACTAAGAAAAAAATTATCGTTTTATTGAATTGATTAGTTGAAGTTAATTTATTCTTTTTCATCAATTTTAGTTTTAATCCTGATAAATAAATTATTCACTTTTAGTGGTTTAAATTTACATATATTTTAAATTTTAGTCTTTTATTGAAAATTAAAAAGCATGTTTTTATTTCATATTAAAATATAAATATTTTTTTAATAATATTTAATATATATTATATTTTATTATTTAAAATTAAGAATAATTTATATATATATATATATATATATTATTCTTTCGAAAATTTCAAATAAATAATATTTTAAACATAAAAATTAATGTTTGATAATGTTATTAGATATGAGATCAAAACAATATGGTTCCACTAATTGAAAATACTGTTCTCAATATAAAAAGAAGATTTATATGTGATTTTAACTCAATTTTTATTTTATAAAAAATATTTAAGTAAATATAAGATTTTAATTTCTATATATTGGTAATAAAATATTTTTTTCACTTTCAAATCAATCACAATATATGACTGATAACGACTTTACAAATTTGAGATTAGAAAATTATAGAAAAGGTATTTAGTTGTATACTTAATGCATAAATTATTTAGTATAGTCCTGTGGATTATATTACAAGTTATAACATTGAATATTTTTGAACAGTGTAAGACATTATTATAAAGGTTTTGTCATAGTCATTCTTTTTCACTTTGTTTCCCCATTTTGGTTTCTTTTCCGACTCTTTCTCTCTCGCAAGAAATGCTCTTTGCCTCTCTATGCCCTCATGTCGTTTTTGTGTTGTCTCACTATTAATTTGCGGGTTTCTCTCATCTTGTCTTGCAACTACTAGGGTTCCTCCCTCAACTCTCACATCCAACAGCGACATTCCAGAACACTCTTTCTCTCTCAGTTAGGTGCCACACTTTATTACACCCAAATATTAAAGAATTAACAGATCTTCAAACACCAAGGTCTGCACCCACATTAAGGTAATAATAATCATCCAAATTACATATTAATCGTATTTTGTTAACGTGTTCAAAGAAGCCTAGCTAGTTTAGCTAGCTAGCCTCTCACCAGGTATATACTTTCTTCCTTTTTCTTTTTCTTTCCAAACTTTGCCTTATAAATTAGTGTTCTGAGGTTGGACCAGGGTTTTTGCTTTTCTGAAATTTTCTGAAAAAGGTATATATATACACACACACATACACTCTGGGTGATTAGTGTACCATCCAGCAGAAAGAGATGAAAGTCGAGAAAATTCCATATGTACAATCCACCATTAACAAAGCTACTTGGTTGGTGTACCTTTTCTTGCTCTTGTAGCCACTTCCAATATATATATATATATATATATATATATATATATATATATATATATATAAACCTACAGATTTAGAGGGAAAGAGACAGGTTAAGGAAAGCTATAAGAGAATATTGAACTTGAAATGAAACTAATCAAGCACAAATTATAAAATTTCCATGCATATTATATTTTCATTTCTCTTTCTGCTTAGTTTCCTCCATCCTGTAAAAAAAGGAAAAGAAAACAAAGTTTCTGGGTACTTAGAATCTGTGAATAGTAGCACTCAGTTTCAATGAAAACTTATAAATTAGGCACAAAAAGTTAATAAAAAAAAAGTTCAAAAAGTGTAGCAACAATGGTGCTTTGACAAACAGGCAAAGTCTTCATAACCCTAATTTTAATTAGATGTGTTTATACATGGAAGAGCTTAATTAAGTTCCAAATTAGCCCTATTATAAATATCTATCCATTAATATCAACACATACCAATTGAGATGTCTTGTGAATATAAGATTCTAAATATATGATGATCACTTAAAAGTTTTAGTATTGAGTACTGTGTACAGTTTGTGATTGTAATTGATTGATATAGTGTGTTCTGGTTGTGAAGTGAAGATCATGGCATCTTCTAGCTACTCCAATTCTCCATGTGCAGCCTGCAAGTTTTTGAGGAGGAAGTGCATGCCAGATTGCATTTTCGCCCCATATTTCCCTCCAGAGGAGCCTCAGAAGTTTGCCAATGTGCACAAGATCTTTGGTGCAAGCAACGTGAGCAAGCTCCTGAACGAGGTGCAACCCTATCAGAGAGAGGATGCTGTGAACTCTCTGGCCTATGAAGCCGAAGCAAGGATCAAAGATCCAGTGTATGGTTGTGTTGGTGCCATTTCAGTGCTCCAAAGACAAGTCCTCAGGCTCCAAAAGGAACTTGATGCTACAAACGCTGATCTGATCCGCTATAGCACTTGCAATGAAATGCCAAATAGCAGCACCAGTCATCATGGAGGGAGAAGCAAGATGAGTAGTGATGATGATGGTGGTGGTGGTTCCTCACATGGTTTAAGTTTCTATTATGCTTCTGCTAATTGGAACAATGATCCTTACCCCAGAGGAGATATATAAGAAGAGTTTATATGGTTAATTCTCAACCCTCCTTCTGCATCAATTATGAGTCACGTATTAAATTTCAAGTTAGGGTTTTTCTTTTTGTAAAGAATTGGATAATGGGTCTTAATTCTGTGTACATATATGTATGTGGTCAAGTATATGAATATAATATGATATATATTAAAATGAGAACATCTTTGGCTTTTAGTTTAAGTTTTTAAAACTAATTCAAACTTTGTATGAAACTGAGTTTTCATATAAACAAATTAATGTGTAAACATATTTTTTAAGAGCAAAAAAACATATTACAAATCTATATTTAATGTTTAAACTTGAAAATGTTGTCTCAAAATATAAAAAGGACATAAAAACAAACAGATCACCACTTTGTTGTCTCATTGCAGAAAGTTTAAAATGTGCATATACATGAATCTACCATTTAATAATCACTTTAAAAAGCTTAAATATACAAACAAGTGAAGCAAAACAAAAACCTAAATAAGATGAAATTATTGTCTTTGGTATCACCTTAAATAACATAGGAAACACAGGTAAAATAAAACTTGTCATGATTTTTATGATGGGCATGGTTAAATATGTGTCCTTTAATTTTGACCACAAATTGAAACCCCACTATTTTTTTGTCTGAGAAAATTAAATTATATATAAAAGGGCCCCCACGCATTACAAGCCATATACATACCCACTGAGTTATTTAAGGCTGGGGTGTTAGCCAAATCGAATCTTATTGGTCTACTTTTTATATAATATTTTATTTTATTTTATTATATATATATATATATATATATATATATATATATATATATAATTGTCACCTACCTTTTCAAGCATGCACTGCAGTTTCCATGAACCTACTTATATATTTCTATTTATTCTATAGGTGAAGTTCTCAAAATGGCCTCATCTACCAACTTTTTCAAGCATGCTCTACATTTTCCATGAAGCTACTTATATAGTTTTATTTTTATATGAAAATAATAAATATTAACTATTTTGGTATATTCATAATTCTCGATGCGACATCAAAATAGTTTATATATACTATTTTTACAAATTTATAATAAAAAAATTAAAATAAATAATATTTTATATGTGAAAATTAATATTGGAAGATTAATTATATATAATTAAATACATGTGTGTGCCAACATGTTATTCGCTATGAAGAAGTGAAACTGTTAATAAGTTGACTTTAGTTATGGGTGTTTTCTTTTTTGCGGAAGAAGAAGAATGATAGAGAAAATATTTGCGTGTCCTCTCTGCGTTTCAACATTATGATTGAGAGAATCAAGTGTGGCACAGATACCAAGGGATATAGGATCTACGAAGGGGATTGCTGTGTTATTGTTCACGCATGTGATCGCATTTGGGTCATTCGAGTTTCAACTCAGTGGGACAAGGAACGTGCATGTTGTTGCCCTGTACTGGACTTTCTTCACCATTTCTTGCCCATAATTAATTTCTTTTTATAAAAATAAAAGATTAAATAGTAAAAAAATAAAATTATAAATATATACTTAAATATATTAAATATAAAAAAAATCATAAATTATAAGAAAATTTAATAACGATATTATAAAATATCTTTAATAACGATGTATTATCGTTCTCGTCATATTAGATAATGATGATTTTTTGTATATTGATGATAACATATTTTATAATATTTAATGTAAATAAACATTTAAATTAATTATCATATAAATTATTTATAATTTAATAGTTAGGTAAATAATATTTGTAATAATAAATAAAAATACAGGATGGTGAGATTCAAATTTAATTAATCATATATCATCTTCTAATAACACGAACAAGTCTACAAATTTATCTTGAGAAATATTATAATTTAATTACTGTTATTTAAACAATTTTGCTTGAAAAAGTTGATAAGACCACTTAAGAATACATAGAGAATGTTTCCTCATGCATATACTTTGTATCTATATTATCCGTTGCATTTTGGAATTGATTAAATTTAATAAAAAAAATACATGTATTTATCTAATTATTTATATTAACTAATCATAACTTGTGATGGGAGTGTATTGTCTCAAAAGAATTATATATAAAGCGTATAGTTTGATTTTTTTTTTTCAACATTTTATATTAAAAATAAAAATATATTTTTCCTTTTACTAAGGAAAATTACATATGGACAGGTTTTGTTTCTAATTTATTTTTATTATAAATGTACTAAAACACATTTCCACTTTAATATATGTTGTATTGTTTAATATTATATATATATATATAAAATAAATATAAATTTAAAATAAAAATAAAAATTTATAAACATTTATGTTAATATTATAAAACCATTTTTTTAAAATTATAATTTTGATCTGTCTTTATTTATTTATCCTTTTTTTCTATGATACAAGAGAACTTTATATATATATATATATATATATATATATATATATATATATAATTTAATTTAATTTAGTAATTTTTGGTTTGTCATAGTTATCTAAGGTACTTTCAAGAATTAATTTATCTAATTAAAATATAAAATTAATAAATAATAAATATATGCAAGGATTAGGTCAAAATTATATACTTCTAAAATAAAAAATCACGAAAAAGAATTATATATATATATATATATATATATATATAAATTAAAGTATGCAAAATTGCAATTTACTAATGGAAAAGAAAAAAAGACTGAGAGAAAAGGGTGAGAATTCTTGAGAAAGAAGAAAAGAAAGTGTGATAGAGAGAGTGAAGAAGAAGAACAAAAGGGAAAGAAAGGGTTTTGGTTTCGTTGTTGAATCGAGAATGTTCCGAAACCAGTACGACACGGATGTGACGACATGGAGCCCCGCGGGGCGACTGTTCCAGGTGGAGTACGCGATGGAGGCGGTGAAGCAGGGCTCGGCGGCGATTGGTCTCCGATCCAAGACGCACGTGGTTCTCGCATGCGTCAACAAGGCCAACTCCGAACTCTCCTCTCACCAGAAGAAGATCTTCAAGGTCGACAATCACATCGGCGTTGCTATCGCCGGCCTCACCGCCGATGGCCGCGTCCTCTCCCGTTATATGCGATCTGAGTGCATAAACTATAACTATACTTACGAGTCCCCTCTTCCCGTGGGCAGACTCGTCGTTCAGCTTGCCGACAAGGCTCAGGTACTCATTTCTGCCTCATTCCCATCATTTCTACCTAGGGTTTACCTTCTTCATCGATAAAAATAAATTACTATTTCTCCGCATATTTAATTGTTGGAATTGAAACAACTCGTGTAGGGTTCTGCTGTTTAATTTCGATTTAGGTAGGTCATGCGATTAAAATGTGAATTGCGTGTTTGTTTAATTCGGAACTGAGTTGATTTGAATTTGTTATGATTGTTGAAATTTTGTGCGAGATTTTATAACATCGCCGCAGGACAAGATTTTGTAGTGTCCGACTGCAATTGTCTGGTTGAGTATTACTTTCGTTCTTCAATATGTATTGGACTTCATTTTAGGCGATGTTTATTAGGGCTTTATAGTGGCACTATAACTGAGTAGCAGCGCGAAGCAGCTGTAGGCTGTTGTGAGTTTCAAATAGCTGAATAGTTTTCAATTGTGGTCATTGCAGCTAGAATAGAAGCTTTTTACATGCTATATCTGTGCTACATATAACCTATAAAACTCATCCCTCTGTTTTGCTTCAGAAATCTGAAATCATGTTTTTATTTCGGTTCCTTCATAATGGACTGGACTATTTAACCTCGGTCCAATCTTTTTTTCTCTAATTTGTTAGGTTCTACTCTATGAATTTTGGGAGAGGCATTGGATTCAATTTTTGTTGGATATTTTAATAGCACACTGCACCACCAAGGTTTCTTGTGAAGAATGATATATTTATGTTTACATTCAGTGAGTCATAGTTATTTATGTAACACAAATTATTTTGTTGATGAAGTCATCACAGCTTGCACATAAAAGACCTAGTTAATATTTATGCTTACATACAGTGAGTCATAGTTATTTATGTAACACAACTTATTTTGTTGATGAAGTCATTACAGCTTGCACATAAAAGACCTAGTTGAATTAGGTTCGAGTTATTATAGGTAAAACAATAATTTGGATTTTTCTGTTGAATATCTACACAGAGGGATAGAAAGTATGTTGAGCAACTTTTTTAGGAGAAGTAACCCACCTCCTTAATTTTTCATACTCTTGAATGGATTGCATTAATCTGACCCTTGTAGTTCACGATCAACAAAAAATATTGGAATTGGATTAGATAATCTACCTTTTGTTTGGAGATTAGTTTTTCCACTAGTTATTTTTAACTCATGAGTTAAAAATCAAATTTTGGAAAAGTTAGAGAAATAACATTCTTTTGCATATATACTAATTTTAATTTGTAACGAAGCAATTATCATTTTCCTTCTTATTTTTCTATTAGAAGTCTTCAAAAAGAGGTTTCTCCAAACATATCTTATTTATATTATATGAAGTTCTACTCATGTTTTAGTAGTAGAAACTTGAATTAATAAGTAGGTACGAGAGACAATGGTTTGTATTTGTATCTGCAGAATTACATGGCAATAAAGGACTCATAATTATCTGCAAAATTTGTTATCCTAAAAGGACTCATTAAAATTTGGGACGTAAATTTGAATTGCAGGTTTGCACTCAGCGGTCATGGAAACGTCCTTATGGGGTTGGTCTCCTGGTAGCTGGATTAGATGAATCAGGAGCTCACCTCTATTACAACTGTCCCAGTGGAAACTATTTTGAATATCAGGCATTTGCTATTGGGTCTCGTTCTCAAGCTGCAAAGACATATTTGGAACGCAGGTTTGATAACTTCATGGGCTCTTCCAGGGAAGATCTGATCAAAGATGCACTTATTGCAACTAGGGAGTCCTTGCAAGGTGAAAAACTTAGTAGTTCTGTATGCACTATTGCTGTGGTTGGGGTTGGTGAGCCATTCCACATTTTAGATCAGGAAACTGTTCAACAGTTGATTAATACTTTCGAAATTGTGAGGG